TCCTTAGCTTTAAACTTCACCTGAAACACCCAAAAACACATAAATTAAAACTAATTCAAAATCATAAGAAAACTAAACAAATTCAAACAGCAATGAAATGAAAAACAATTGAAAAGACTTGGGTTGCCTCCCAAGAAGCGCTTGTTTATAGTCGAAAGCTCGACTTTCCCATGGTCCTTCGTCAATCCGGATCCTTGTGGGGTGCTTCACTTCCCATTGCCACCTCTTGATCTTTCCTTTGGATTTCGGACATTCTCATAAGCATCTTTTCGGAACTTCAAATTCGTATATGCGTACTTGAGATGAGATGGTGATTGGTTGAGTCCAATGTTTGGAGTCTCTTCCAACACCAATTTTGACTTGTGCGCATTTACACCAAATTCCTCAAATTGTTCCTTGTGAGGTGAGTTGCTTGGTTGAAATTCCCCTAAGTATTTTGCACACCTTTCCGCTTTGAGATTTTCCTCTTCATTGGTCTTGTCTTCATGTTCTTCCAACTTTTCTTCATTGTGAGGTTGCTCCAACACTATACCTCTCCTCAATGGTATGACATTTAATTGTTCTTCAGGATTTGTGACCTTTGTGCTCGGCAAAGAACCTTGAGATCTCTCTGTCAGTTGTTCAACCAATTGCCCCATTTGAACCTCCAAATTTTGAATGGACACTCCTTGATTTATGAAGTTTGAGTGTGTCTCATTCATAAAACTTGTGGTTTCTTGCATGAACTCTTCGAATATATCTTCCAATTTCGACATTCTTTGCTCACATGGTTGATGATTCACCACCGGTTGATGGTTTGGCATTGTCCTTTGATTTGATTGACTGCTTTGATCGCTCCAGGACAAATTTGGGTTATTCTCCCAACCAAGATTGTAGGTATTGGCGAAGGGGTCATTTTGCAGCCTTTGTGAACTAACAATGTAATTCACTTGCTCGGTTGTTGAGAAGAATAACTGGTTCCCATCTTGGCATTCCACACTCTCATGGTTTCCTGCACAAAATTCACAAGTTATAAATGGTGAGTGAAAAGAATTTACATTCATACCTCCCAATTGGCTTTGACATGGTGCAATTTGTGCAGATAATGTGTCGAACGCGTCAACTTCATGTAGACCCATTGTTCTCTTCGGCATTGCTCTCTCATTAGGTCTTTGGTAGTTATTGTTGGCCATCAACTCAAGCAATTCATAAGCATCTTCTGGGGTCTTGTTATTTAAGGCTCCGCCTGCTGCCACATCTACCATCATTTGAATATTTGGTAGCAACCCATTGTAAAATGTTTGGACTTGTCTCCAAAACGGTAGACCATTATGTGGACAATTCCTTAACAACTCCGTGTACCTCTCCCAAGCTTCATATAGTGATTCATCGTTGCCTTGCACGAAAGAGGTAATGTCAATTCTCATACTTAAGACTATACAATATTTACAATTAACTACAAAAATGAAATAAAAGCTTCAATTTAGCACTACACTAGATACTATCAATATTAATAATCAACTATCCCCGGCAACGGCGCCAAAAACTTGATGCGTGTTTACTACAACATGCAAAAATAGCAAGTATACTAGTCGCAAAAAGTAATAAAGTGATGAGTGAGTATCGTTCCCACGAGGATAGTGTTACTAATTACCGATTTTTCTAGTTTAAGTCCTAATTGAAGCAACAATAAATTGGATTGATGGAAGATTAACAAACTAAATACAAATGCAAAACCCAACAACTTAACTAATTAAACAATTCTAAAACAAATGCTAGGGTGTTGAATTCACCTAAATACGCTAACCCAAATCATAGAATCTATTACCCAAGTTCTAATTCCTTGATTGAAAATCGAATTCCCTAAGTTGTAAAACATACATTCTCATGCTACATTTCCCTACTTATCCCTATTAAGCTTCCGCACCCAACAAAATGAAGATTAATAGTTCAAAGGATTCTAAGCTTTGTGGAATTCTATCTAGATTTCATAGATCGCTAAACCTATCTCTAGCATTTGCTAATCTACGGTATTTATCCCAAGAGGCACAATCACAAATCACTTCTCAGTCTCATTGTGAACAACACACATTTGAATGGTGATCAAGCATCCAAAAGACATTAAGCAAAGAGATAAACACTCAATCATGAAATTAAAACTCAAAGTAATTCAATCCATATAAATTTGAATCATTGTATCAAGATTACATCAAACCCTAGCTAAACAACTCAGTTCATGCTCAAGCGACTACTGGACGTTGAAATACAATATCTAGAAATGGAGCGATTAGCTTATGCCCTGCTGATTGCCTCCAGAAAGCTGTGACCCCACTTCCATGCTCACACAATCCATGTCTTGACCAACTATCTGCCCAGGCAAGTCCTTTAGAAGCCGGAGGCTTTAGGTAAGTTACTCAAATGGGAAATGGAACTAAGTCAGTTCGATCTGCATTATAAACCGAAAGCAACCATTAAAGGGCAGATTGTTGCCGATTTCATTTTGGAGCTCTCACACCAACCGAGTCAAGAATCTGAGCAGCAAGCCACCGAAGTCACCCAAGAAACTGTTCAAAACTTATCGACCTGGAGCCTCTATGTCGATGGTTCCTCGAACAAGAAAAGAGCCGGGGTAGGCCTTCTCCTCCTCAGTCCCGAAGGGACTCGCATCCATGGAATTCTTTGATTTGGGTTCCAAGCTACGAACAATGAGGCCAAATATGAAGCGTTGCTCGCTGGTCTACGATTGGCAAAAGAGATGGGGTCAAGCGCGATCAGTATTCACAACGACTTCCAGCTGGTTATTGATCAGATCTTGGGAGAATATCAAGCGAAGGAAGAAAACATGATCAGTTATCTGAAGAAAGCTAAGGCTACACTCGATTCTTTCAAGCACTTCCTGATCAGACAGATTCCTAGCGATAGTAATTCTATCGCAGATGCCTTGGCAAGAATAGTCTCGTCACTAGACTCAGATGCGTTGGAAAGTATTCTTATTCGATACATAGAGATTCCTAGTATCAGCTCGCCCGAACAGGCCATGGCTACAACAGAGTCAATTTCCTGGATGACTCCAATTATTCAGTATCTCTGAGATGGGACCTTGCCCAATGACAAGATTGAGGAAAAAATCCTATGCACCAGAGCTGCTTGTTACACACTCATAGGAGATCAGTTGTACAAGTGAGGGTTTAACACCCATTTCCTCCAATGTGTAACTGATGAGGAAGCAGACTATGTCATGAGGGAGATACATGAAGGGATCTACGGTAATCACATTGTCGCGCGATCCCTCACAAACAAAATTGTTCACCAAGGGTACTATTGACCCCTACTTCAGGAAGACACTTTCAATTTTATAAAAAATGTGAAAAGTGCCAGCGGTTCGCGAACATATTGCGAGCTCCTTCCCACTAGCTAATAACCATGACCAGCCCTTGGCCATTCTCCATGTAGGGAATTAATCTTATTGGACCCATGCTGGTTAGAAAGGAAGGGGTCAAGCATGCTATGATCGTAGTGGATTACTTCACCAAATGGGCCGAGGCTGAACCATTGGCCATGATCACTACCAAGAAGCTCAAAGACTTCACCTTCAAAAATTTAGTGTGCTGTTATGGAATTCCTCATACATTCATCTCTGATAATGGGAAGCAGTTCGACAATGAAGAATTCAAGCAATTTTGTGATGAGCTGGTGATCCATAAAAAGTTCGCCTCAGTCATAAGACCACAAGTCAATGGTTAGGTTGAAGCTGTTAACAAGACCATTAAGGACACTTTGAAGGCTAAGGTTGGCGCTGCCAAGGGTAATTGGGTCGACGACCTCCCAGAAGTTCTATGGGCATATAGGACAACTCCGAGAACCTCCACTTTAGAAACGCCCTTCTTGCTAACATATGGCTGTGAGGCTATGATCCCAATGGAAGTAGGGACTGGTTCACTTCGGAGAGACCTATTCAATGAAATAGACAATGAAGCACTTCTGCATGCAAGTCTGGACTTAGTTGAAGAATACCATGACAAGGCTCGGTTAAGGATAGCATCCTATCAGCAGCGCGTAAAAAGGTTCTTCGCCTCTAAGGTCAGGAGAAGAGACTTCAGGTCGGCGGCCTAGTTCTGAAAAAAGTCCTTCTCGGTATAAGGGAACCAAGCGCGGGGGTATTAGGACCGAACTGGGAAGGCCTATTTTGCATCGCCAAGGTGATACGACCAAGGAGGTATCACCTCAAAAGACTTAATGGTTCTGAAGTACAGCGAGCTTGGAATACTGAGCCTCTTTGCCCCTATTACTAGTAATTTTGAACTCGCTCTTAATTTTTAATTTCCTTGTAAACTTGTAAATAATATCGTTCTTAAGTAAATTTATCTTGCATGATCTTGTTCGTCGCAATGTTTTTACAAGCTTTCTGTTTGCATATGTAACATTTGTGGAGTACGTAAAATTGTAAGTGCTATCACAAATAGCTAGAAAATATTTCTTTTATTCATGTAATAGAAGTACAGAGAAAATTAAGAAGTACAAAAATAAAGTTACAAGCAAGTTTGTGTAGAAGCAGGAAGAAGCGATCACTGGTGTCCACTTCCAAACCTTGAGGGTGCGACCTCGGTATCCCCTGGTTGGTCGCCGACCACCAGGTCAATTGCTGGGCCCTCTAGGACATATTCCTCTAACTGATCGTCCTCTGGATGAGGCTCTTGTCCCTCATCCTCCTCGATGTCATCATTAGCTTCAGCCATGGAAATGAGGATGTTTTGGTAGTCGATCGGGAGGTTGAAAAGGTCCATCCTCGGGTTCCGTGGCCACAGGCTATAGATTGCCGAATCGCCCAATCAGTGGCCTTCTTCTCAATTTCCAGGCTTTGTCGCTTCATCTGATAAGTTAATGAAGCAACCTGCCCTTAGGATAATTCGAGGTCCGTTTTCAATGCTCTCTTCTGCTTCTCGGTGTTTTCCCACAACCGAGCTCTTTTTTCCTTTGCCTTCATGGCCCGTTCGGAGTTCACTTGTAGCTTCTACTCTTTCTCACCACACTTTTTGGTGAGTCTGGCCACTAGCCACTGTCCTCTGGAGCTCTTTGATCTCTTCCCCTCTCTTCTCAAACTCGGCCTTTTGGAACTCTACTGTGTGAAGAGCAGAGTTCCTCTCCAACATGTACTGGTTCGCCTGAAGGTGATATTCCTTTGCCTCTGCATCCACAGCCACTAGGTCCTGCTTTAGCTTCGCATTTTCTTCCCTCAGCTCGTGGAGCCCCTTAGCAGAGTCCAGGTCGGTTTTCTGTTGGGCCAAGTGCAGGGCGAGCAGAGACCAATGTTTTAAAAACCAGACTGGACTATGACCCGTTCAAGGGTTCGGTTTTCGGTTGGATCGGTTAGTTGGACCGTATCCTGTAAAATTATTTTTAGTCCCTAAATGGTTGAAATTCATCAAAAACACCCCTATAATACTCCCTTAAGGTTTGAAATATATCAAAAACACCCTTATCACACGAAGATACTAGTGAATTGTGGCGGCAATGACGATCGACGACCAACTGAAGTTTGACATCATGGGGCTTTTGATGTATAGGTTCTGACGAATCTAATGGTAGTGTTAGGGAGTTCTATCGACGCCGAAAATTGCTGGAATCAAGAAGGAAGTCCGACGGCTAGCGTGAACTTTAAGTGGACGACGAGCGACGAAGGCCACTAAAAATGGATGGGTTTTGTTGTGGAGATGTCGTCAAATCGAATGGTGGTGTTTTCTCCGTCGAACGATGCCGAAATCCAGCAAAATTGAGTTGGGATTGAACTGCGACTCGGCACTATTCTGGCTATCCAACAGCGGCTCAATCCGATTTAACTGAAAATACTAAGTTTTAGAAGATACCAAACCGGAGATACCGTTGGCTCCTGGTCGAACCGGTCCGTTCGGACAGTCTAGTCTGGTTTTTAAAACACTGGCAACGACTACATGAGAAAGGAAACAAGAGTTAAACTCTATTTCTTTGAAAAAAACATAAAGGGTATGAAAACCAACCAATATTGGAAAATCCTCGACGAGGACGAGCTGTCTTGCCTGGCTTTGCAACTAGAGCGCTGAAGTAATCAAGTCCGCTGGTCAGGAGGCCACAAACTCTTCAAAAGCCTTTCCAAGTTGGCACTCCAACAGGGTATACACCATCGGTTGCAAGTGTTTCGAAAGTTGTTGCATGGAGTCCAACACAGATGTGCCAGCCCTTAGAGAAGCTGGCACCTCGCCAGCCGGCTCTTTGCCCACTCTCCTTCCGAAGGCTGTGGCCTCCCCCTGTCTTTTATGCAAATGCTCTAGGACTATTGTAACGCTAGGTATGTGCTCCAAGGTCTCCTTCGAGCGAAAGGCTTGGTAAGGCTACGACCTACCAGGCTGCACCCCCAAGCCCTCTAGCTTGGACTCTGATTCCTCAGCCTACTACTGTTTTTTCTTCTTAGATTTTTGGCCCATGGTTTTCTGTTTAGGGCAAACAGCCACGGGCCGGGAAGTTTCCCCTAGTCGTTTTGTGGCTGTTCATGCTCCCACTTGCACTCCTCCGATGGGGGTGTCGCTAGGGATCGCCTTGGCTGACTCAGTGGGGGCGACCTGGGGAAAAACGAACCCCCTGACCCTTGACGGTCTTGCGACTCTGGGTGGCATGGTCGCTACATGAAAATATGATTAGTGAAAAAGGTCACTACATGCAAGAGAAAGAACTTTTAAAGTCCGCAGACACTTACCAACTAAAGGTTCCAGGGATGCTTTAGAATTGAAGAAACCATATTTCCTCAAGTTGGCGGTAGTCACGAGCAGTCTCGCGTCGCGACTTTGCTTAGGCAGATTACCGAATGCTACTATTCGACTGAAATCGGTCAACGTCGACAACTTGGTCATCTTGTTTCCTGTAAAGAGACAGGAAAGCTCATTAGAAAGCGAAGACTGAAGGAAAAGAAAAAATTCACTAAGTAAAAGAGGGGAAAACCTACTCGATTCCCTAAATTGGCAGACACCATCATAGTGAAAAAAAGAAAAATTTGGTTTTGTAGGCCCCGACATTACTGGGGTAACCAAATATGCCTCCCTCGATCGTAGATTGCTTCGAGAGGTAAAAAGAGTCTCTGTCCTTGCTCTTCTTCTAGTAAAGGAGTATGTAAGCTCCAACACAATCAATTGGCCGAAGTCATTCTCACCACATGCGGTATACATAGCAACAACTATCATATACGTGTTGGGTGTCATTTGCAAAGGTGCGACCTCGAAGTGATCAAGGATTGACCTAATGAAGGGGCGGAAAGATATCAATGCCCTGCATTTGAAAATCGCCTCGGAGATCACGGCCATTCCCTTTGGGGGTTTCCGAGCTGTATACGTTATGTGCTAGTAGACTTCTACACTAAGTGCGTATTGGTCCATTGCCTTCTGTATTTCATCTCAGGTGGCCAATGATAGAATCTCTTTACGGGACTTGCTGAGGCATCCTACGCTTGCGAGCTTGTCCCCTCGGTTGTCTTGGTCATTGAGGCATCCATTGCTCATAATGTCTTAAAAGGGGTGACACGCAGAGGTTACTCAGTCTTTGTATAGTATTCTGTACGACGACGTGGAAGAATATAAACCCTAATGTATCTCCCTTAAACCCTAAAAAAAAACCCTTGGGGATCATCCCCAAGGATTCGTGCCCTAAACACTCACTCCTTATGAAAGAAAAAGTCTTCTCCTTATGACTGCCCATAAACACGCACCGCAAAAGTTCACCAAACAGTTCACACCCACCATTATCATCAAGACAAGCTATCCACAAAGCAGAAAAAGAAAAGTGAATGAGAAACCCTCCTTACCTCTTGGCTGTGGGGAACAGACTTCTTGCTGTAAACGAAAGGTGCGCACCAACTGAAAAATGGGGAGACTGGTCTCGTCAGAGCTTTTTTCTTCTATGAAAATATGAGTTTTATGACATTGCTTGAGGTGAGCTTGGGGTTTTATAGGGGAAGGAAGCGACGATTGATTTTCCCTAAGTTAAGCAACGCTTGGGCGAAATACATTTATTGCTGTTGATTGCGACCATGTGTCATCAATCTGTGAGAAAAAGTAACCGCCACGCTTCAAGAAAATCAATCGACGCTTCCCTCCATTGAAATAACCAAGCGACGACTCAATTCTCTCCTCCACATTAAATACGCCCTCATCCGCATTTAATGCCCTAAAAGGGAATGTCGTTTCAGCATGACTTACATTTAATGTGCATGGTTGGCACTTATTGCGCACAAGACACGTCTGTCAAAATAAAGATTATTTTATTAAGGATTAGTTGTTAAGCGCAATGGATAAACATCTGAAAAGGTCGTTAGGGCAGAAGACACTTCGCTGCGTATTGATTACGAGACAATGTGATTACTTGTCTTTGGCAAAAATATGCCAAGTATTATTAGGTCGCGGATCAAGGTTAGGATTTGAAGCACATCGGTACGACACTGAGTGGAGTTTGATCCAGGTCGTTGACTTTGTAGAAGAGGACCATCTCAGGTCACTTGTAGAGACATTTGTTACGACATCCTTACAGCCTGGTCAGCTTGACCAAGCGTCATTCGAGACAAGTCAAGTCGCGACATGATTATGAAGTTCTCAAGTTTCAATCCTTAAACCTTAAAAACTTGGGAACTTCTGTTATGCCTGAAAAGTTAGGGCTAACGGGGACTCTCGCCAGCAAGAGCCAATCAGGGCTCAGGAAGGTTTTGTGCCGTCACTGCGCTGCCACATCGCGTAGCGACGCAAGGGGCATGACTCCTGTCAGTGTAGTAGGTGAGTGCTAGACTTGCGAACGGTTAGGGATCATCCACCTGTCCAAGCCCTAAGCAAGTTGAGGATATTTCTCGTGCAGATAACCAATGAGACGCAAAGAAGGATTTGTACGACACCTATCCACTTGCAGACTTATAATCATTACCTTGAAATCTCCCACTATAAATAGAGGACATCCCTCTCATCTATGAGATTAGCTAATCTTAGTCTAAAATAGCTTACACAATCTCTCTCTTTTTGTACTCTCTCTAGATTGTAACTTAGCTAGCTATACGCGACCTGATTGTACCCATCTATTAATACAATAGCAATGGACGTAGGATTCACTTTTGAACATCCGAACCACTTTAAATATTGCTTCTCATTCATTATTTCATTTTAACGGTTTTTATCACGTGTGATTTCTAAGTCCGTTTAGCATTTTTTACGTGCGAGTCATTTGTGTCAAAATCCAGCATCAACATATACACACAAAGTTTACAATACGTCAATAGCAGTGTAGCGCTATATATGTAAAATCAACACCACAAATGAACAATGCTTAAGGCTAGTCTAAGTATAATAATTTTTTTTTTCTTTATATTGCTAGAAACTGAATTAGTCATTTATATTTTATATTTATATTTATAGTGAGTAATAATAATACTAGTGTTGTATTCCCGATGGGTTTGATTCTTTTTATCTTATATGATACACGTGTAAATCAAAGAGGCTAACGCGTAACGCACCTACGAGGTCGCTGTCTGAAAGCGCTACCTCATCCATTCCACCTCTCACTTTGCTTGAGTTTGAAGTAGGGATGGGCATGGGCCGGGGCGGGACAGGGGACCACTGTCTCCGACCTCAGCCCGAAAGCTCAAGGGGATTCTCCGGTCCCGGCCCGAAGCCCGTTCGGAGAATTCGGGGAAACCCCGAAAAAAACCCGTTCCCCAAACAGGAATTCGGGGAATCCCCGAATTTCCTGTTTGGGGGATTTTTGTATTTTTTATCCTTTGTTTTATACTTTTATTATTCTTTTCTCTAAATTGTATATACCAACCAAAAAAAAAAAAAATTGAATATATAATATACATATTAAATATAAAAACCATCATACTAAATTATAGTGAGTTATTGATTCATTATAATCAATCAAACAACCAATAATATATTACATATATATTATATATGAACGTAAGATTATAGATAATAACATATTATGTATAAATTATAATGTATAACATATATATATATATATATATATTATTGTATAATGTATAATTGATTTTCAAATATTAAAATTAATATATATATAATATACGGGCAGGGCAACACCTATCCCAGCCCTGTCCCCAAATTTTGGGGCCAAATTTAGGCCTAATCCCGGCCCGAATCTCGAAAAATTTGGAAAAAATCTGTCCCTTTTGGGGCGGATCCCCACAGGGCCGAACTTTGTGCCCATCCCTAGTTTGAAACGTGAGATACCGTGACGAAAGCAAAAGTAAAAAAAAATAACACATATATGATATAGATATACCATTATCAAATGCGAAATATTTACACAAATAGAAAAATTAATATACTCATGTAATTCAAGCCGTCCGATTCATCATCTACCATTCATTTTCCGAAGAACTTTAAAAAAGAACAAAAAAAAATTAAATTACTTTCATTTTATACCATCGAGAGCACACATCATCACATCACTCAATCATCAGATTCCAAAACTGTTCTACTTTGAGGAACACAGGCGTTGTCTCATTCTCATCCTCAACACGCTCAGCATGCTCACGCTCAACACGCTCAACAGGGTCATCCTCAACATTCTCAACGGTGTGGGTCATGCTCAACACGCGCACGCTCAAGCTTAAGCTCATGCGCACACGCACGCTCAAGCTCAAGCTCACGATGAAGCTCAAGCTCAAGCTCACGATGAAGCTCAAGCTCAAGCTCATGCGCATGCTCAAGCTCACGCGCATGCTCAAGCTGAAGCTCACGCGCAAGCTCAAGCTCACGCGCAAGCTCATGCAGACGCTCACGCGCAAGCTCAAGCTCACGCAGACGCTCACGCCAACGACGCTTAGGCCGAAGATACTCATCCTTACGCTCACCCTGAATATGGGCAAAAATGTTTAAGGATAGTAACTGTTAAGTATTTGGATAAAGTAATATAATAATAATTATTAATATGAAAAAATTAATTAACAATAATACTGATCACTTTTACGTTTACATTAATACATTAAAAAAGTCTTATTTGCTAAGCAAATCGTTTGGCCGGTTTCTACTCCAATCAAAACCATGGTCCAATTTCTTCTTCTTCTTAATAATTATATAATACCTAATCCATATTATATATTATCTGTTAACGATGCTATCATGAGTTTTCCCCGATATGGCTTTTCTTAGACTTCCCAAAGTCTATATAATATTAAATTAGAGCAAACTAATATGTGAAATATTGGTTATAAGAACATAAAGATAATTTTTATGACGTAAAATGGAAGAATCCAAAGTAATGAAAACTTTAATGTACATTATTGCTAGTTTCAGGTAACAATACTCCTAATTTCTCAAAATAGACTTGAAAAATCTTGAAGAGTTGAAACCATTAAAGTTTGACATGACTTGATAGCAAAATAGTTTATTTATTTATTTTGTATACTAATATATCTCTTGCACTAAATATGAAATTTGTTTTATAGCCTAGCCACCCTAAAACAAAATCCTGACTAAGCCATGCTACTACAAAGGTAGTTCCTTAATCTCAAACAAGTGATCGTATGATTAGCATCAAATATAAAACTATATAAAAGATATTACCATTATAATCTCGGCAGGATTGCAAGGCTGTTGTCGGGAAGTTTCTCCAACCCAATGCCGACTGCCAGATCTCACCCTGGGTCCTTGATCATCTCCAAATAATTACACATACATAATATTAATGCCTATTAGCAACAAACAAAAATTGAGAATTACAGAATCAAGCAAAATTAAAGTGAAAATGCTTTTTACCTGTTCTTTCTTCTCTGAGAGGTCGACAGTGGATAATGGCATCATCACATGATTCTTTTTTACTAGAACATGGAGGATTTGGCACCTTCCACTGTGTTTCCATACAATCAATGCCATTTGAACCACCATTTTTTTTATGAATTTCAGCATCGTTTCCATCAATATGTCCTGTCATTTTAACCTTCGAAACATTTTCAACCTCTTCGAGTGCCATGTCAAGATACTTCTCAACTATCTTATGACTTCCCTCAAGTGCTTCACTTCTAGTAATGACCTTCAAAGCTTTGAGCACAAGTCTACAACTAAATGAACTTGATTGCCCTTGACTCTGGTCAGCAGTAGGGTCCTCCCACTGTAAATGATCGGGAAAATTAACTAAGCTCTGGCTGTGCTCAGGTGGTAGGATATTTGTTTTCTCATTGCTCAAGTAGGAGTTACTATGATTAACACAAGGGAATGATTCTGGAGAATTTGCAACACCCGTCCCTTTCATCATCCCAGCTTTCAATATAGGAGTAACAATGGCATCTTCCTTTAAGCTATTAGGGGACGGACATGCATTATGCCTTTGATTTGGAGCATTAGTGTCATGATTGTGCTCCAGAACAATGCGGGTTATCTCCCATTTTCCACTGTCCTTGTCATGCGTAAATTGGACCATTGCATCACAGCCTATTCTTGTCTCTTTCCTCTGATACTTTCTTGCCTTGCCAGACTTATTCTCTGATCGAAACCCTTGTGCTGAACAGTAAATATATCGTTTTCTTATGGTTCCATCTGTCAACCATTGTGTCTTTCCTCTTCGTACTCTGAAACCCATTTTGGTAGCATAATTTTTGTAAAACTTATACGCTTCCTCCTCAGATGAAAACACCATCCCGAGCTGTGGAACTTACAAATTCATTTCACATGTTTCATCCTTTAAATTGATTGTTGACTCGGATTGCATGTCGTCATTTACCAACAATGATGGGCTTTCATCAGCCTCATAATTTTTTGATGAAATTGGAGGAATATTGCGAGTTACATTCTGAACAGGATATAATAATAATAAATCAAATATATTGAGTTATTAGCAAATATCATGTATCATTATTTAAAAGTTGAAAAAATTGCCCCAAACATAAAAGAGGGAAATAACATAACATGAGTAGTTTAATGATCAATTCGCCAGTTAAATTATTTCAAAAAAATTTGATCATTAGCATTCTCTTTAAGCACATTATAACATGTAAGAATAAGCAAACTATAGAGCCTTGAGGAAATGCTTAAAATCGAGATCCAATTTAATATAACACTACTAATAATATTCTTAAAAGAGTAATGTTGTACTTAAAACATTAGTATGCTAACTTTTCTATCCCATTAATATGACACTTGATTTGTAATAGTTATATCACTTATCACATCACCCTCTCAATTATACAAGTAATTGGAAACTAACTTTGTAGTATTACTCTCACTATTACCACCATTGTCGTGACAATGTTTGTATTTTATATTAATTTTCAAAATACACATGTATTTTATTTGACAAGAATCAATTGTGTGTCAAAATTAATTGGGTTGAAGTTACAATTGCATTTCATTTAACTTTGGCTATTTTCATGAGTGGCAAATCTAGAAATAATGACAATTTTATGACTTATGATTATGCTCAACAACTATATAATTAGCATAAAAGAAGATACCATACCCTTAACGAAAAAATCCTTGCAATCCTTTTAATCCCTCTCAAATGTTCTTCTATAGACTTATATTCCAGTATCAAGTTTTGTAACTGTTATCAAGATTCTATACTTAAGAATGCACTCAGGTATCGCAGATTCAATGATGCAAATACTGCTACATTATAAATTCTTGACAGCAACTAACAATCGCAGATTCAATGATGCAAATACCGCTACACTATAAATTCTTGAGAGCAACTAACAATAGCTGACAGAGTTATATCAATCCTATTTTCAGCAGATTCCTTCCCATAACAAGTCATAACCTACTTAAAGATCCTAAATTAGTTCCACCACAATTTTGGTGAAGTTTGTTATGATTGGGGTTTCTTTTTGTGTTGTTCTTCTTTAATTATTTCATTTATATTGATTTGTCTATTAAACCACATGTTTGATTAAAATCCTAGATTAGCACAGGGTGTTAGATCCCTGACATATAATTAAATTACTATAAGAGTTCTCTCAATATCACCAGCAAGTAGTATCAAAGCAAGAATTCCCAATTTAAAGCATATGATGGGCAAACAAATTTTAATGGTCAAGGAAACTGAGAGTTTAAACGTTTCTTCATTTTTATGTGCTAATTCTAACAAAACTAAATGTTCGAAAGTTACTCATTTAACAATCTAGGGTCAGAAACAAAAAGTGAAGTGCCAATTACTGCTAAATTTAAGTTCTTGCCACCATGGAATCTAATACAACATAATCAAATCCCAAATTCAGAATTCAATAGTAGACAAACAATTATAAAAGCATATAAAATCACGAAATGTTACCTTGTCGCCAGGCCCTATAATTGACTTCCCACTGGATCCATCCGTTGCTTTTCCTTTGTAATAATAAGTATTTTCCGGTAGGAAACGTTGTACGGAAGTTTGACTTTGAGTTTCTGAATCGACTGACCAACACTCACTTGAACTATACATTCCTGAGCTGCCACCGTAATTTCCATGTCTATCTCCAGAAGTCGAGTTGTAAATGTAGTCCCATTCACGATCGCGTTTCGAGGACCATGCTTCCCTAAGAATCTGATGATCTGACATTTCATCATCTTGACATAACAGTGCTTCAATGTCGGCGTCGGAAAATAACTCATTTGATAAATCGGTGTCGGACAATAAGTCATTTGAAATATGGGTGTCGGAAAATAAGTTATCTGAAAAATCAGCATCGGGAACATTAGTTCTAGATGATATATTATCAGCCATTGACTTGTTCCGAAAAAAAAAAAAAAGAATCAAGGCAGAAGATGCTACTCTTTTCCGTTTACTCCAAACCCACCACCACATTTTCATCTCCTGCTAAGCCGCCGCTTATAAGCCTCCGCGTTTGGTTGAAAACTGAAGATAGGTAGTCCTCAACAGTCAACAGATGGGTAGTCCTCAACAAGTCAACANTTTTTTTTTTTTTTTTTGGCCCCTTATATATCTTCTTTCATTGAAAAGAATTCAGAATTGTGTTTAAAGTTCAAAAAGAAAGAAAAGAAAAAAATAATGAAAAAGGGCATGAGGGGAGGGAAAGATTGCTTATAATAATTGACCAATGTGTCATATTTGAGGACACTTCACACACTTATAATGAGTTTATCAATTTCTTTTATCTTGAAAGTTTTAAGTAATTAATTATTTGATTGTTAAATCATGTGGGCTAAAGTTCTTGTAATGTTTAACTTTTCAAGATGGAGAAATGTTTTTAAGTTTTTCATGAATAGATCACCTTATCTTGTCTCTTTAAATTTTTATGGAACTTCTGATTGATCTTATGCCATATTCTATTTTGTTGTAAGTTTTTGTTTTCTTTTTGAAATAAAAGTCTTATGTTTTTGGGTTAAAAGCCGTCAGTGAGATATTGTGTGTCAACATGTTAGTGGATGTTTCAACATTTGGTTCAATTTTCTCTTGTGCTCACTTTTGTCCGTAATGTGCAAGCATCTGTTTTAAAAATATAATAATAATTTTTTTTTAAAGTGGTATTTCGTCCTTTTCCAGAGCTTGTCTTTTTATATGCGCCTCATGTTTTCTCTTTCGCAGAAAAAACAATCTCTCTCTCTCGAACTGCCGCCTCCATCTTTGCTTTCACATTTTTTTTCTTCTCACAGTCTCTTGTGTGCCCTACATTGCATTTGTTTAATCATAACTCATCAAAGATCATCTTTGAAAGAGAAACATCACATCATTCTTGCCAAGAAAGGGGCCCGACATGCTCAAGAAGGAACTGAATCTGAGACTGAGTCATCCTCCTTTTCAACTGGTCAAGAAAAATCAACGTCCTTCTCACAAAGTACATTATATTCATCATCCAGTCATCATCTGAAGATACTCCATTGAAGAAATTGAAAACTTCAAAGACTTCAAAGTCTTCAAAGGGAAAGAGAACTAAAAAATCTGGTAAAAATCACATAACTTTGTTTCAGGTTCAGATTCTTTTCATTTTTCAAAACATGTTGTTTTGAGGCCTCTAATTTGTGAAACTCGTTTGAATTTAGAAGATCTCCCTGATTTTATGCCTATTGTCTCTTTGAGAGATTGGTTAAAAACTGTTGAAGAATTACAGCCTCCATCTAGGACTCTTGTCCAAGAATTTTTTGCTGATTATGGTCAGGAATTAGAAGTTTCTGTTTGTAGTTGGTACTGGAAAGAGAATTGACCTTGTAGATTTGATTTTCAACCATACCAAGGAAGCTACAAAGTCAAACAGTAAGTTCAGGCATTGCCCTTTCCTTTCCTGATTCAAAAGATCGATCTCCCTTCTAAACCTAAGACTTTCGCTAATGAATCTTATTTGAAGGGGAAGACTATCCCTAAAGTCTCATTTTGATCCCAAGTTGCTTCTCCACCACCAGAACATGTGCCATCCTCATCTTCAGCAAGAAATGTCAAATCTAACTCTTGGCAGTCCAATTAATTTTCTTATGTGCAAAATATGCATCAGAAATTGGTGGATCAAATATATGACCTGCAATCCAGAGTGGTTACTCATATGGAGCTGCTGCGTACCAGGATAGATAGGATTGAAGATTTATTGAAAAAGAAGCAATCTGATTTTGTTTCTCCTGCCCCTGCTGCTCAAAGACCAAATTACTACTCCTGTAACTGTTCAAATCCTTTTGTTGACACAGTTCATGTCCTTGAATCGTCTCTTCAATCATTTGATATCCCTCTCAATCAGCCTTCTGCTACTCCTTATGGAAAAATAAAAAAGTCTGCAAGATTCAGCCGTCGACTTATGAACAAAGAGGGGGAGCAGTTTTGAATTTAATGCAATGTGGAATGTGGTGATTTTTTTCTCAGGGGGAGTAATTTTTCGGATTGACTGCTAATTATCCTGAGAGGGAGTAATTTCATGCAATGTGGAATGCAGTGAATTTTTTTTTGTGTGTGTGTGTGTGTGCGCTTTGTTTGATATCTTTATTCTGCTGACTTGGTTTATGACTATGATGTTTTTCATATATGCTTTAAGAATTGTATTGATTTGTTCTTTTGCATATCAATGTGATTTTAATGTTGATCTTGGCTGTGATATGTTTTAAGTAGTGTTTAAGAATCAAACTGTGTTTTGTTCATAAGGTTGACAACAATAATACTACATTTACCGATCAAGCTACCGATTTTCACATACCGACCCACCTACCCAATTACCCAAATCTTAAAATTTAACTCAATTCACATGAGTCAGTATGTCAAATCGGTAGTTTAATCGGTAACTTAAGCATTATTGGGTTGACAAAGAGGGATATTGTAATTGTTGTTTGTCAACTTGTGAAATATGTGTGCAATTATTGGTGGTGTATGCACTTTCGGTTGTTAAGCACAATTGTGATTTTCTTTAATCAGTTACACATGTCGTAACATCTTGTTGTTTGTGCACACATTGTCTTGTTCACATGATCATATTGAACAAAAATATGTGGGCACATTTCCGGTTTATATGTAAACCATTTTATTAAGTGTCCTTCTTTAATATGTTTTATCTTTATTGTTTTCATGAAACTTGTGTGATAAGTCACTTTACAGGTGTCACTCTCTTTTTAGAGTGGTCCAAGAAAGTTGGTAAAAGGTTCTCTATGGTGGAGATTGGTTCATGTAAGGATGTAAATAGTGTCATCTTCTTCCTTGTGCACTAACCTGGTTTTTGCATATTCATTTTGCTCTGAATTTTTCAGAGTATATTCTTGCACAGGTTCTTCTTGTTTGTTTGTTAATTCTATTGTTGATCATTCCATTTGTGTTTGAGTGTTGGAACGTTGTTCCATTGTAGGAAGCTTGAAGAAAGTCAAGCTATGGAGCTAAAAGAAGTGTTCCGCCATTGAAGCTTAAGTGAAGCTCGAACTAACCAAGTGGTCTTGGACTGGAGCTTGCTGTAGCAGAACACTAAAGAAATCAGATGGTGGAGTTAAAGTCTTGTAGAACAGAGAGTGTTTTACATTGTTGTATTTACCTTCAACTCTGTGTTTGCTCGTATTGTGTTTGTTATAGTGGATTTGCTTCATCTGGACTTGGTCCCATGGATGTAGACTAAAATGATTTTAGCCAAACCATGTAAATTCCATGAGTGCTTTACTTCCTGCTCCTATTGATTAGTTTTTTTCATGGTTTGATGATTAATTTAACAAAACATTAAACACAAGTTTAAAAATCCATTCCGCTGCAAGTTTAAAGAGTGCACACACTGTTACATTTATGACTACATACATATGATGTTTTTTATGACAAGATTTCACTACTATTGTAAAAAGCTTATTTTCTAGTAGTTGAATACTTTAAATATGCATTTATTAAATTTTTTTCAATGATCAATTCTTAACTGATGCAACTTTGTTTAAATCAAGTAGGTTTAATGCTTTTGAAATTATAATATCATTAAATTTTTGAATGATATGACTATAACGTGATAAGTATTTAATTGAAATAATGTTATTTCAAAATGTAAATAATTAATTTTAGACTTGTACTAATTTTATATAGATATTTGGTTGTGGAAATCATATTACTGTGACCTGGTTATTTGAGCAAATACAACAAAATATAGGTTTAATTAGAGTTATAATTTTTTGTTTTTGGAATCTTATAAGAACTACATAAACGTTTAATTTCATTGCTTAACTGTAGCCAAGGAAAAAAAAAAAAAAAAACCTTTAAATTAGATTTTTGATAAAAAGATTTATATGACAATCTTACCACGTTATTTGGTTAGTGTGGTGAGACCATAATGACATAATGATATATACAGTAAAACCTCTCTATAGTGATACTGTATATAGGAATAAACTCTACATAGTCATAAAAAATTTTAGTCCCAATTTGGGATAGTTATAAATAAGAATAAACTCTACATTGTAATAAGTTATAATTTTTCTAATTTCTGGCTTAAGGAAAGTTGCCTCTACATAGTAATAATTATCTGTATATTGCAAAAAAATATATGTTATGTAAAATTAAAGGTTTAAAATGAAATAACATATTTATTTAAAATTATTTGGGACAATGATTTATGTTTTAGAGTTGTTATCACATATTTTACCTTACGAGTATGTAATAGCTCGTTAGCATGGATACCTTCTTGCTGAAACCAAAATATTTTTAGTTTCTCAAGCATGTTTAGAGCTTTATGACACAGGACTTTTTGTATTTCCGTACTATTATCCTTATGATTATTTCCTTTCTCATCATGTCTAATTGCAACAATGATTTCTCTTTTGGTTAAAGTATACACAATTTGTTGCTAATTTGGATAATCGAAGAAGACATTTTTATCCATTCGATTAGTGTAGTGAATTTGTTGAATCTGATCACTTAATTCTATGGTGACTCTTTTATTCTCCTCATCTACTTCATTTGTAACTTACAATTCATTGACATTAGTGGTCCTAATTTTGCAGCGCTTAAAACCATTGATAATTGTCTGTGACTTCACATTAATTGACCATGCATCAACTGTATTTACAGTTTCATCAATGACATTTATTTTTGCTGGTTTTAATAAATGATCTTTTATTTGCTTCAAAAGTAGGTAATTGAAACGCTGTATTGAAATCCTAATATTACTAAAATATAATTTGAAATCCTAATACTGTACTACTAAAATATGCATTATAAAATAAGAAATAAAAAACAATAATTTTTGTAACTACACCTCCATTAAGTTATAACCTTTTTATAGTAATAAAATTAGTTAGTCATAACATTATAACTATAAAAAGATTTTACTATATATAAACCACCTATAATGGTGGTGGTTATTGATGATTGATAAAAAGAGTTTATTGATCAATGATGGTGATAAATGAAATAAAGAGAAATTTTGGNTTTATTGGGTGCTCTTAATATCAAGTTATTACTAAAGACAAGACCAACCAGTGTTTATTGATGGTCCTCTGACCAGCAGAGAAAAGTAAGCATGGATTCGTCGTCTGAAAATGTTATTATTAAACTAAAGACCACCCAAGAAACATTGTATTACAAAAAGAGAAAGTGAAAACTCTTTGACAGAGAGAGAAGAAACAACTATCTTTTTTTTATTCAAGTCTAATATCTTCTATTACATTTTGGGTATTTAAGTAGCTTACAGCTGGATTTAGCTACAATAAAACTAATTAATACAAAGATGATTTAACTAGATGTACTAACTGCTGTTACTTTAACTTAACCTTCACTAGACTAACCGTCAACTAACTATTAACCAATATCCCCCCTCAAGCTGGACATATAATGAATATCAAAGAGTCCAAGCTTGGAAAGTAAGTGACAATGCTGTCTCTTGCATAAACCTTTGGTGAACAAATCAACTAGCTGCTCATGAGAAGAAAGGTGAGTAGTCTAGATGACGTTGGCTGCAATCTTCTCACGGATAAGATGACAGTCTATTTCAAGATGTTTGGTCCTTTCATGGTAAACTGGATTGGTTGCAATATGAAGAGCTACTTTGTTATCACAATACAAAGTAGCAGGTTGCATATTTTGTATCCCCAGATCACGAAACAAACTAAGGATCCAAGTTATTTCACATGTGGAAGCCATGGCACGATATTCTACTTCACAAGAAGATTGAGAAATAGTAGATTGTTTCTTTGTTTTCCAAGAAATTAAGGAGTTGCCAAATTTGATGCAGTAACCTGTCAAGGATCGTCGAGAAATAGGATAGGATGCCCAATTAGCATCACAATAGGCAGTAAGGTGTAATTGCTTTGTGGAGGAGAATAATATTCCAAGACTAGGATTCTATTTGACATACTTCAAGACTCTTATAGCAGCTTGCATGTGAGAATGTTTGGGTAAATGCATATGTTGACTCAAACTCTGTACTGAGTAACATATATCAGGGCATGTCATACATAGATAAATGCGCTTGCCAAAAAACCTTTGGTAAGAAGAAGGATCTGCTAACAAGGGATCAGCTTTGGTTTCACCTGAAATCTGGTCAAGTGCTACAGAAGTTAATTTCAAATGTTGTTCATAGAGAGTGCCTTCAAGTCGAGTAGCTGCCAAACCAGCTTCAGAGAGAATCTCCAAAGCATATTTTCACTGATTGAGAACAATACCTTTCCTAGACCTACTAACTTCCATCCCCAAAAAATATCGCATGTGTCCAAGATCCTTTATTTTGAACTTGAAATTANGCAATAAATATTAACATGGGATAAGAAGCTATCAATTAAAGTAACTATTAAGATAAGAGTATCAATAACAATGCTGTACAAATTAATTTTAACCATTAAAATTAGTACAAGATCCATTAATTGTAGCAATAAATATTAACAGGGAATAAGAAAGCTATCAATTAAAGTAACTATTAAGATAAGAGTATTAATAACAATGCTGTACAAATTAATTTTAACCATTCACCTTTGATGTTACTTTTTTTTTTTTTTTTTTTTTTTTTTGATAACTAAGGTGTTCCGACCAATTTTTGGAACCATTCATCTTTTACGTTACTTTTCTTTTCTTGACAACTAAGGTGTTTTGGCCAATTTGTGCATATCTTAACTAATTTTTGAAATCTATTGAACATCGTGATAGGTGAATAAACTGACCCGTATCCTAACTAATCTTCCGAGTCTATTAAACACCTATGGTAGCCCTTGGTAGGTGAATGGACCCTCGTGATAGGCGGGCCAACTAAGACATAAATGTGGTTAGCGGTCACTTTATAGAACTCGAACACAAGATTTCTAGATAATTCACCTAAATGGCTAATATCTTGTCGTCCGACCACATGGACATGGTTAGTGGTTAGGTTATGCAAATTTCTATAATTAATATTTAAATATAATAGATGTTCTCATGTGAAACGTAAAACCTGATTTTAAGATCTAATGAAAGTCCAATTAACCAATAATGGGTTGGCTGAATGGTAAAGGTTTGGGGCCAAGAGGTTTACTCTCCCTGTGGTCTTAGGTTCAAATCACAAGAACGATTGCTAATATTGTTGGTCACAGATTGTAAGATTTGTCCTGTTTCAAAAGCCTTGTTCAGGATTGGGGGACTAGTCAAGGTGCACGTAAGTAGACCCGGACACCCTAGTAACAAAAAAAAAAAAGAGACCAATTTGAGATTAAAATGATTGGTTGATTGGTTTTAGATCTAATAAGTTTCTCACGTAAATGTGAATTCAATTTTAAGGCTCAAAATTCTACTTTCCTTCTCTATTTTCAAATCATTTTCAATCTTAGTTATATGGTCTAACGTATAAATACTATTATACATAAATTTGTTATGTAACAATTCGATATGTATGTTTAAGTTATGTAAAGGTCTACCATCAAGATTTACGTTTAATAGGTTTTTTCATGTAAATTGTGGATCTAATTTTAAGGTCTAATAAATCCAATTAAACACCGATTTGAGGTCAGAACGATTGATTGGTTTAAAGTCTGATAGGTCATTTTCAGCCTTAGTTATGATCTATTAAATTCTTTCATATAAAACATAAATCCAATTTAAAAAATTTAATGAAAGACTGAGCTAAAATTAGAGTGGCTGGCTGATTAATTTCAAGTCCTATATGTCTCTTATGTGATATGTAAGTAAGAGTAACGTGATATTATTGTAACCGATTTAAAGACTAAACATTAATATATGATATATTTTCTTTTCATTTTTATATTTTTTACTTGTTCTTTTACCATTCTACCACTTCAATTTACACACAATGATTTCTCGAACCGAGGTATGCCTTGGTCTGCTAAATAATGATGTGGGCAGCAAACTGTAGTTTTTTCTTCAACTTGTGCTGGGCACGTGACTTTTGGTTATCGGGTTTCATTTTGGGCCTTAGTTATATGCATTGTCAGAATGTGACGCGGATATAAAGTGGGAGATAATAATCTTTATCTGATTTAATATGAGTAAATGATTCTTTGCCACGCAAGGTTTGCCTTAATGACTTTTTCCCCCCCAAAAGTTTTAAAATACCACTTTTCCACCCAAAGTTAATATTCTGTTACTATCCAAAGCGGATTATTGCCAATTTCGACGGCAAAAATTCTCTTTGTCACCACCATTTGAATCTCTTGTCTCCTTCTATAAAACATTTCTCACTCCAGCACCTAATTTCTCAACAAAGTTAGGGTTTCCTGTTCTTAGTTGATTTTCGACTGATTCTGGCAGAAAATATTAAATTAGTAACTACCATTCGATCCACTAACCTCTACTCCACAAAACCACTCTTAGCCTAGCTCTTAGTAACTTATTGAACGCCAGTTGAGAAAATGAAGTATATTTTGAATATTAATAGAATATAAACTTTGGGTGGGAATTGGTATTTTAAAACTTTTTTGTGTGGAAAAGTGTCATTAAGACAAACCTTGGATGGGAAAAAGTCGTTTACTCTTTAATAATATTAAATATTCTTTGAAAATATACTGTACTATACTAGGATAATAAGAGTTGCCAAATTTGATGCAGTAACTTGTCAATGATCATCGAGAAATATGACAAGATGCCCAATCAGCATCACAATAGGCAATAAGGTGTAATTGCTTTGTGGAGGAGAATAATATTCCAAGACCAGGATTCTATTTGACATACTTCAAGACTCTTATAGCAGCTTGCATATGAGAATGTTTGGGTAAATGCATATGTTGACTCAAACTCTAAACTAAGTAACATATATCAGGACGTGTCATACATAGATAAATGAGCTTGCCAACTAACCTTTGGTAAGAAGAAAGATCTACTAACAAGGGATCAGCTTTGGTTTCACCTGAAATCCGGTCAAGTGCTACAGAAGTTAATTTCAAATGTTGTCCAGAGGGAGTGTCTACAGGTTGAGCGGCTACCAAACCAGCTTCAGAAAGAATCTCCAAAGCATATTTTCGCTGATTGAGAACAATACCTTTGCTTGACCTACTAACTTCCATCCCCAAAAAATATCGCATGTGTCCAAGATCCTTTATTTTGAACTTGAAATTGAGATATCTCTTCACTTCAGCAATGACAGTGCGGTTATTACTTGTAAGGAGAATGTCATCAACATAAACTAACAATATGACAAAGCTGGATCCTTGCCTCTTAGTAAACAAAGAGTAATAATTCTTGGACTGTTGAAAACCATTGTGAAGAAGAGCAGTAGTAAACTTATGGTGCTATTGTCTGGAGGCTTGTTTTAAGCCATATAGAGACTTGAGTAACTTAAAAACTGTATTCTTACTCTGGCCAGTATGTCAAGCCCCTAGGGAATTCTCATATAAATTTCTTCCTGTAAATCTCCTTGTAGAAAAGCATTAAAGACATCCATTTGAAACAATGACCAGTTATTCATAGCAACCAAAGCCAATACAGCACGAACAGTAACCATTTTAGCAACAGGGGGAAAAGTTTCAGTATAATCTAACCCTCTTGCTAAATATAGCCCTTGGATACAAGGTGAGCTTTATACCTTTCGATACTCCCATCAGCTTTAAGTTTGATTTTGTACACCTATTTACAGCCTATGGCTTTTCTTCCAGGTGGAAGAGGAACTAATTCTCATGTGTTATTTGATTCCAAAGTAAGAATCCCATTTTCCATAGCAACTCTCCAATCATGGTGTTGGATAGCTTGTTGATAGGTTTTAGGTTCTGTATGGGTAGATAAAGAAGAAAGCATACACTAATATGTGTGGGATAAATGAGAATAGGAAACAAAATTAGAAATGGGATACTTGGTGTTATTGGACATATCATAATATGTGTGCCATATGGGAGGTCTAGTGGTTCTAATTGATTTCCTGGATAAAGAAGGTTGTATAGACTGAGAAACAACATTGGGATTAATAAAAAAACCAGGATCAGTAGAAGAAATATTACCTGAAGAACAAGAGCTATGGATAGGTGCATATGAAGGATTGGATTCAGAACTGGACATGAAGCCAATAGGGGCAAAACCAAAACTAGTTTTTGCATTGGGAAATAAAGTTGTATACTCTGTATATAGTTTGGAATCAAAATATGGAAAAATGTTTTCAAAAAACTCAACATTTCGAATAACAAGATACAACATCTCTTCTAAGTTGTATCTTGTTATTAGAAATGTTAAAAGCTTTATACCCTTTTTGAAAAGTAGGATAACCCAAAAAAATGCGAGGTAAAGCTCTTGGACTAAATTTATCTGTGTTGGGTAAAACATTGGCATAACAAAGACATCCAAATACTCTTAAATTGGTCAAGTCTAGTGCTTTATGGAAAAGAATTTCATAATGAGATTTATTATTTAAAAGAGGTGTAGGAACTCTATTAAGTATTTATGTAACAATGGGAATGCAGTCTCCCCATAAATGAATAGGAACATGAGATTGAAATTTTAGTGCTCTTGCAATATTCAGTATATGTCGATGCTTCCTTTCTACAACCCCATTTTTTGGGGTGTGTAAGAACATGCCTTTATTAAAAAAACGTTGTTCCATTGTCTATCCTAATTTTCTTAGGTGTAAGAGAAAATTAATTTTGAATCATCAAAATGAATTATTTGAACACATGAAAAGTATTAGATTTCGTAACCATTAAAAAGGTCCAAGTTGCTCGTGAATGATCATCAACCAATGTAAGAAAATATTTGAAACCATTGTATGTTGGATCCTTCTAAGGACCCCAAATGTCAATATGTAAAAGATAAAAAATATGAGCTAAAGAAGATAGGCTATGTGAAAAAGATTTTTTGCATTGCTTAGCCATAGGACAAATTTTACAATGGCGAAATGATTCTTGTACAGAGATGTGCTTAAGAGAAGGAATCGATTTTATTCTAGAAAAAGATGGATGTCCTAATCTATGATGCCAAATAGTAGCATTAACACTAGTACAAGCAGTCAAGATTGGTGTACAATCTGATTTATTTTCTATAACAGAGTAAGACAGATTATTAGCATGTGGCATAACCAGATAGTAGAGCCCATGATATTTTTTACCAATCGCTATCATTGACCCAGTCCATAGGTCCCGAAACAAGCAAAAATGAGGAAAAAATATGACAGTAACATGATTGTCTTTACAAAATTTAGAAACAGATAACAAGTTATAGTGAAAGTGAGGGACAAAAAGAACTTTTTGGATTTTTATCTGTGAGGAAAGGGATATATCACTAGTATGGGTAATAGGTGTGGTCATACCATTTGGAATTTAACACTAGGTTTTTTTTAAGAGTTGTATGGAGAAACATTTTCCAAACTTTGAAATGCAAAAGTCATATGGTCATTAGTTCCTGTATCAAGAATCCAGGCATTATGTAAAATTGTGCCAAGAAGAGAAGTGATATTACCTACTACATTAGCGATGATTTTAGAGTCTGCCTAAGCCAGGTTAGAGTTAATACTTGAACGATCCTTGCCAAGAAGTTTCATAATTTCTAGGTACTGTGTTGGAGTAAAAAGACTTGAAGGTTTGCTTATAGATGCAGAAGTCCTTTGTGGATCATCCATCACAGGAGATTCACTATGATTTGTAGCAGGAGTCTTATGATCTGTCACTTTCTTTTGTTTATTTCTTTGTCGATTATCAGGATATCCATGTAGCTTCCAACAAAAATTGACTATGTGATTAGCCAAATGACAATATTCACATTCCATAGGTTTCTTTTGTTTGGTACCCTGAGCAGAATTGTTCACAGGTTTAGCATTGTGAATTAAAAAAGCTGAGACATCAAACTAAGTGTTAACAACAGTGGTAATTCCTCGCTGTTTTTCTTCTTGGTTTAAAATTGAATAAGCAATGTTGACTGTCGACAATGGATTCATTAGTAAGATTGAATTACGAACTATTGAATAACTCTCATTAAGACCCATAAGAAACTGCATAACTTTCTGAGTTTGCTCATGTTCTTTAGTAACATTAGAAACAGGACAAGCACAATTAGCAGGTGAGAGCATTGAAGCATATTCATCCCAAAGTATCTTCAATCTTGTATGATAGACTTGAATAGTAGATGTACCTTGTTGAATCGTAGCACTTTCTTTCATTATTGAATAAATTCTTGAACCATTAATCTTGTTATAGGTCTCTTGAAGGTCTTTCCATACTGTAACGACATTGTTCCTGTAAATAACTCCAGCAACCAAATCATTCAAAATTGTGTTCATAACCATGACCTCGTTGTTGCATCACATCGGTCCCATTGTTGCGCCAAAAGAGAATCAAGAGGACGAGCAAATGAGCCATCTATAAAGCACAACTTGTTCTTGTCTAAAAGCACTATTTGCATCGCACGACTCCAAAGTCCATAGTTATCTATTCCAGTCAAAATCTGACTCACTATTTGACTTACAGGAGTATCAAAAGGATGCATGTATAGTGGATTATTGTAATCTGCTACCATTGTAGCTCCTTGAACACTGGTGTTTGTAAATCCACTCATTGTTGATCAAGAATTTAGGTCAAAAGAAAGAACTCTTTCAAGAAGAAATTTAAAACAAAAATTCAAAGATTCTGAATCAATTGAATGAAATATAATAAAAAACAATCTAATTGAAGGAAGATTTGCGGAATTTTGCTTGAATGAGCTCGGATTGAAGCTCTGATACCATATTACAAAGAGAAGAAGTGAAAACCCTTTGATCGAGAGAGAAGAAACAACTATCTTTATTTATTCAAGTCTGATACCTTTTATTACATTTTGGGTATTTAAATAGCTTATAGCTGGATTTAGCTATAGTAAAACTAATTAATATAAAGATGAATTAACTAAACGTAGTAACTACTGTTATTTTAACTTAACCTTTACTAAACTAACTATACTAGACTAACTGCTCAACCAACTATTAACCAATAATTGTTACTATTATTATTTTAATTTGGCCAGGATAAATTTGGTTTTGCTTACGTGGATTTAAGTTCCATGGAGTGGTTGATTTTTATTGATGCAATAGTTGGAGATTCACGTCTTGTGTTTGTGTTTTATTTCAGATTTTGTGCCGCTAATTTGGTTGTGGTTGGTGGCGATTTGTTGTGGTAGATGGTGTTGGTCAGCTTTTTTATATTATAAATTTATTTCATGTTTAATTTTTGAATTATTACTTTTGTATTGTCTTACAGTGTGAATTGCCAACTCTGCCACTGTGCTGCTGTTCAAGTCTATGTAAACTTCCGTTCCGGATTAAGGGGGTAACTATCACTTTTATCAAATACTTGGGGGCTCAGGAGATTCAGTAAACTTGAAGGGTGACTTAATTTAACCCGCTTCAGCCAATATTTAACTCGACACGAGGTACGACAAAAATTTTGAAACATAAAAATACAAAATTGTCTTTGTAATGTCACAATAAAATAATTTTAACAACGAGCCATGTTTGATTCATTATTTTTATCTATATTCCCAATCTTATTCTCCAAATATTATTTAATATATTATTTCAAAAATATTACTATATTTTTTTAATTACATTTAGATCTTTAGACCCCTTAAACTTATTAATTTCATTAAATACTCTCCAAAAAAGTTTAAAAATTAACAAAAACACCCCTATCAACCCCATACTTGCCAGATTCCGGCATCCACCATCAATGATAGCCGAAATTTATACAACGGTCTTCCTGGCTACCAAAAATGACTGGAAGTTAACCGATCTGGCCTTTTCCGGTCAGATCTGGCCGTCAACGACAGCCAAAGACGGTCAACGACTGCCAAATATTGGCCATCGTTGACCGAAAACAACGCCAAAGGTGGACTTCTTTTAACGTTTTTCGACGGTCGACGACAACATTTGGTCGTAGATCTGGCCGAAAATGGTGGATCTGGTTGGAAAAGGCCTTAGCAATGCGTTACGACACAGATCCGACTGGTTTGTGTCGTAACGAAATTTTCCAGCTAGATTCCAGCGGTGGTGGCCAGAATCTGGCACTACAGGTGGTGGAGGTGTTTTTGCCATTTTATATATTATGGTCTTTAATTAAATTAGCAAACCAAAGGGTTTTTTCATAAATTTTTAAAGTTTACCTCGTAATACTCCCCTATCCAACTATCCAATATTATTCCCAAAATCCTATCTAAAATAATGAACCAAACACACCATTTAATATTATTATATCGATATATGCTTTCTTTGAAACAAAAAATTTATTAACGTATTAAGAACATAGTATTTTTATACTTTTGTAATTTAATATATTTGGCATAGGATATAACATAGTATTTAAAAATTACATAGTATAATATTTTATTGTATATTATGATATTATACTAATATTGTACGATGTTTGGGAAAACATTACATTTCAATATTTCATTATTTTTATATTATGATATATTTGGTGTATGAATTACATGGTAAAAAAATATTTTATTTTTTCTAACAAAAATTCATTTATTAAAAACTAATATATATTTTAATTATGATTTAACTAATAAATTAAAAAAAAAAGTTAAAAGTTGAACAAGTTAATGGTCAATGCCGATTAACAAAAGTCAAAATACCAATCAACAATAATTGGTTAATAACACTCAAGCATCGGTTAACACCGATCAAACATTGATCAATGTCAGACAACAGTAGTCAATGACAGTCAATAATGGTCAATATCATTGATCAACATTGATTATAGTTTGACCGGCAACTATATATTTAAATTTATAAATGTTAAATTAATTGACAATATTTATTTATTTAATGTGGAATATATTGTAATATTTTAGGCTTAGCATTATTTAATGTCATGCAGTTTTTATCATCAAAAACAACAATGAGTTTGCCAAGTGGTAAAAGACTTAGGGCCAAGGGATTTACTTCATCTGTGGTCTCAGGTTTGAATCACAAGAACGGCTGTTAATATTGTTGGTCACAGACACAGCAGGACTTATCCTAATTTTGAAGCTTTGTTCAACGTTGAGGGACTAGTCGAGATGCACGTAAGTTAGCTTGAACACCCCCTGTAACCAAAAAAAAAAAAAAAAAAAGGTTTCATCATCAAACACGATATTGCATTATTTAGTGTTACATAATGTCTTTATTGTTACACTATGTTGCATAGCAAACATGTCCATATATAGCATAAGGACATAGCACATAGATTAAAACATCTCTTCAATCAAATAGACCTTTTTTTTTTTTTTTTGAAGAAAATAATTAAAATATTTTTGAAGAAAGTTTTCGGATTCAATTTTAAATACTAGTGTTAATAAGATAAAAAATATTAAAAATCGTTTATACGATTTTCTATAATTTTTTTAAAATGTCATATTAAACATATTTTAAAATATTAAAACATTAAAAGACACATAGAATATTTGTATCACATTTTATTTTTTAAATGAAAAGTTAAAAGGAAGCTTATCACTAACGATAATTTATGTTTTATTTTCTTAAATTAATTCCATTTTGTTAAAAGAAATAAAAATAAAAACCCAACCAGATTGCATGAAAACCGTTACCGAAACTGGGTGGGGTTAAACCTTACGGTAGTGCCACGTCACGAAATGTTTGGCCAGAAGCGGAAAAAAGTTATTCACATGAATCTACCATAAGCATAATTCGGCAGCCACGTCAGCATACTACTCCGAAAGTGGGTAAATAAAAGTTCATCCCTGACATTTATATTACTAATATTGTAGTCCTATTTAATTGTTTAGATGACAACGTTTTATTCCCTCCCTGGCTCCCTGTAATGTAATCTGCAAACCTCAGGACCAAAATGTTACTAAAAACTTTCCTAAGGGACGAAATTGTTAGTATCCCAAGATCGGATTCGAGACGCTGAATAAGATAAAATATACCAAAAAATGAGCTGAAGATGCACTGCAGGGACGATATTTTAGTCAAAATATCTTTTGTTCGAAAACTTCATAGCTCACCTACTCCTCTTATCGTTTAGATCTCGCTTTTACCTACAGATTTTCATTTCTTTAGCAATCCAAATCGTCTCAGTATGGGTGAGTTTTCGTTTATTTATCGGTTTTTGAAATGATTTAATTTAATTTTCTTCACGTGTCACTGGAGTCTTGACGATTTTAGATTGATTATTTTAATCCGATTTTCGAGTTTTTATGATTTGATAGCGACGGGGAATCCTTTTAAGAGCATATTGAAAACTCTCGAGAGGCCCGACGGTGGTGAATTTGGCAAGTACTATAGCTTGACGGCTCTTAACGATCCTCGAATCGGTTAGTGTTTTTGTTTATTTCCTGTTTGGTTTATGAGAAACGGGGGGAAAGTTTAGTGAGAAAATTATTGTGATATGTGGTTGATGATAATCTGGATTCCTAGGACGATAAGAGAGTAGGTCAAGTTGTTTTATTAGGTTACGTGTGATGGAAACTTTTCAAATNTCAATCAAATATACTATTTTATTCAAAAATAATTCTTTTAATAACATTAAAATACTTTTAATTGGTCCTAATTCCAATTATACACTTAATTAATCAAAATTTTAATATTAATATATTAAAAAAATTTATATTGTGTAATTTATATGTAATAAGTATAATTGTATATTTATTTAATTAGGTTATTGTAAAAATTTAACTTTTTCCATTTTAATATTTTTTATATGTAAAATTACAAGAGACCCCCATGCTTCACAGATATTTCATTTCAGCCCAGGTTCCAAAACATGGTACCCTAAGCTGGGTACCCGCTACGGGTTTTTTTTCCCAAGTTTCGATTTTGGTTCTGGTTGTAGGAACCAGAACCAGAACCGCACAGTGTTGGTTCCAAAAAAATGGAACCGAACGAAACCTGCCCGCTCAATATGGGTTCCAGGTAGGTTCTGGTTCCGATTCTACCCCCGCTACTCGTGCTCACCTCTAGTCTCAAATAATAAATATTATTGCAAAATTTCAATAATTGTAAAATAATTAGTTTCAGTATTATGTTTTTCATATAATGCTTTAAAACGTATCAATTTTTGTTGTAAATGCCAACTATGATCTAGATAATATATTGTGACACTCAAAAAAAATGTTTTTGATCTAGTAGCCCTTATATCTGAAGTAAGTGTAATAAATATATTCCTAAAATTTTGAAAAAAAAATTTTAAGTTGATTTTTTATGTCCGTTCTGGTTGTGGCCCTACTAAAAGGGGTTATTGCTGGACAAAAAACAGTTTTAATAATTTGAACAAAATAAGAATTTTCAGATAAAGAAATAGGAGAGTCTATAGCACATATGAATTTTGCTATTTCCTCTCATGCTATGAGTGTCTTGTAATTCCATGTTGAGAGAGTTAAGGATTGTGGATTAAAATTAAGTTGAGTTTGAATTCTCCTACCTAGTACGATACTTAAAACCTAAACCAAACTAGCAGGACTACTGTATTTGTTAGGGGTGCTTCTTCTCCAAATGTCGCCACATCGTTGAAGTCTCATTCTCAGCGCCAATAACTGTTGAATAAAAATTACATTCCCCGCACATCCTTCCTCTAACCCATTTAGCTTTGGCCGTTTTGATTTGGTGAAAAATTGTCATACCTCGGACATGACCTTCTTTGGCGATCAGGTCATGGAGTCGCAGCTCACTTGTGTTTGATTGGGCTCAGACTCGACCGTTTGTAGTTGTGGATTGGAGTTACTACCTTTTAAAATGGTGAAAAATGAATCAAACTCTTCCATTTCTTCGGTGGATGGAACGTAAAACTGATTTGGGGATGATCCTCCGAATTCATAATTTCGGGAATCCATATGAATTTATAATAAAATAATAAATAATTAAAATGAAAGAAATTAAATAATAATATTAATAATAGATGAAATTGAATAATATAAATAAATATAAATATAAATTGAATTGAAGAGAATTTGAAAATTGGATTTGAGAGACTGAGAGAAGAGAATAGATTGAGAGTTATTACATGTGACCGTTGCCTGCCAACAGTCATTTGTTGGCTGCTCAATGCAATATTTTATTTTATTTGTTTTTTTGTAAATATCAATTTAGCTTTTATAGTTATTGTGTAAATTTGAAAAAAAATGGGGTTTTTAGTAATTTGCTAGGGGTATTTTGAAAAAAAAAAGTTTTGGCCCGATCCCTCCTCCACGATTTGGGTTAGGTAGACTTTTTGGGTTCGGTCCCAAATAACCACATCTAAATTTATATCCTAACAAATATGAAAATTGATTTGATAATTTAATTGATTTATCTCGTTGTTAAGTATATTATCAAATCAACTATACCATACGAACTGAGATACAAATTTGAGATCGTAATTTTGTAATTGTAATATTATCCATATATTATATATCTTGTACCTCAAATGTAATAAAATCACACAATTTACAATATAAACACATATATAATGATTTTTCTTATTGGTTGAATAAGGACAGCCATACCTCTGTACTATAAGACTTTTTAAAATATGTAATTATATCTACGTGCATGAGATAAATTTATTCAGGGTTTTTTAAAACATTCGCATGCATGAGGTTTCCTGTAATAACATTATCTCTTCAAAAATTAAAAATAACAAAATATCTCTGGAATTTCTATCATATGATTTCGTAAGACTAGTCAAATGACTAATGTACCCATAAATTACTATTCATAATAGAAATACAATTTAATAAAAATGATCCAAACAAGATATCCAATATTTCACAACCAAATTAATTCTAACACTTTGAAATCAATCAAATTCAATAACCAAATGACAAAATCAACTCACTCAACCCACCATGGAACACAAAACCAAATCCCCCGGATCAACTAAATTAACCAACAAGGCAGTTAATTTGTAGCTTCAACCGAAAAAACCCAGCTAAGGTGCAACTTTAAGACATCAGCGGTGGGTGACCACGATCTGCGGCCCCTCATGAGTCGCCACCAATGTTGCTAAGTCTTGCTAAAGAAGGCCACAAGGTCGCAAAGCCGCTCATGAGTTGCTAATGGCGTCCACGGTTGAGACTGCATCAAGGCCGCAAAGGGGCTCCAACAACTATGGTGTTTTCATGTGTTGATTTGATTACTTGTTCAAAACTATTTTTTTTTTTTTTTTCTTTTCATTGATTTTTTGGGTGCAGTTATCATAGTACCCTTATTGGCTTATTCTGTCAAAATAAGCGTTGATTTCCTATTAACACACCGTTATTAGGCGCCTTCTATTACTTCCGATACTAGAGTGGAAAAATATTATTTCAGAAAACCTCCAAATTTATTGGTTGATGAGTAGAATGGTTTTATTCAGAAACTTTGTCCTTGCCACAGAACTTTTTTCTCCACCTCGTCCGTCCTCTTACTAATTCAGGTCCACACTCGAGGCGGAGCGAATGATCGAACTCAATTTCTTGATTATCTATCAACTGATCATTGCCACTGATTTTGGATAGAGATTGTAGCACACTATCCACATTGCACTCCTTCCGATACTCCAAAGTCATGACGCAAAGCTCATGACTCTCCACAAATGAGCGAGGAACACCCTGATAAAAAAACATTCATATATATTCACATCATATGAAATTACTGTGCAATAAATTAAGATTAATAGAGATGATAATAAAAAATAATCTCTACCTCCAGAACATAGTTAACCAGTTTGATATGGCTCACATGTTGATTGGCATCCATATCCATCCATCCAGGCTGAAAAACAAAATAACTAGTCAGTACTCCTAGTTGCAAATCTCTCTCTCTCTCTCTCTCTTCGTATATATATAGATAGATAGATAGATAGATAGATAGATATTGATAAACTGATTCATTACACTTACATTTAAACCAGTGCGACTGTAATCTGCATTATCAGTATCGAGGTGCAGAAATTTCCTGCTATCCTTGTTGATGAGAGGGTCACAGTGCGTGAAAAAAGGTTTCAGGTCTGCTGTGATGACTTCCTCGTTCAGCTTAGCAAATTTCCTTGTTTTCTTATTCATCATCGCATATAAACTGAATTTATCCAAAACATGGAAAATCATCAAAATAGAAAAACTCATGTCAGCTTCTTGGATTGTCATCACACACGTACATTAGAAAATATTTAATATCCATGAATTTCAGTTGGTAAACCTTATTATATATAATTTTTTATATATTTCAAATGTTTCATTGAAATTTTATCCTTTAGTGCACTTTGAAATTAGAATAAATAAAACAGGAATAAATTGGTAAAACTAGGTTAACCTGGTTGCCCGAATCAGAGTTTTGCCTGTTTTCAAGTCTCGGATCAGCCAGTCTCGACGAAAGCCATTCCTCCCTGACCTATACATCCAAGCCTCTACTTGAACAACATCACCCCTTCAAAACAAACAAAAAATAACTGCATTAATAAATTCTCCTAAATCAATTCATTCTTGAGAAAAGCCGCGGGTTTCATACCTTTTACAAATTAGAAAGTAGCTTAACATCTTAAAATTGCTAAATAAATAGACTCAAAATGCTTGATGAGATTTAATTCAAGCAAACTTTAACATGAACATATAACTATTAACGTCTACATATATATATCCTCAAGAATTAACTTTGAAGAGGATATTTTTTTTTTTTTTTTTTAACATAAAATGTGCATGATTTCTTAGTTTAAGTTATATTGAGATAGTTGTTTGGAGATCTCCTAAGTGTTGCAGACTGAGAGATGGGTTCTTCCAATATGCTGTTTACACAAAGAAGACAAACTTTAATGAGTTTGAGGTGTAAATGGATCTCAAGGGGAAAATTCGACATAGTTAAACTATTGATTGGATGTCATGATGGTAGAGTGTTATTATCTTCATTATGTTCATCGTTACTTCCTAAGATAAAGATTATTGGGATATTACGACTAGTCTACCGATTATTTTATTATAAATTGAATCTTTTTAAGAATGTTAATATCGAGTATAACCAATATTAAATATTCAGTTATGCCTCAAGTATAAAAAAGTGTCCTATACGTGAACAATTGAAGATTGTAAATTGTAAAGCAAATGGGAACGTAGTGGTAAAGTGGCTTTACCATGAAGGGTAGTAATCCACCTCCACATGCGACCAACAAACCACCCATATCAGGTTTTCTGCAGCCATATTTAATGTTGAGCCGAAAGTATCAGTCACTATTCCTAAACTCTTGAGATGGTTGATTGATGTTTCCTATACACAAACAAAAGCAAGTTGGAAATTAATTTCATTGACGAATATTAACCACTTTTTTGAATAAAATAGATATAATTAGAACCTGTAAATAATTCATCAAGGCTTGAATGGATATTCTGAAATCACTTCCTATCTCAAACGATCTGATTGTAAAGTTTTGTTGGAAAATAAGTCCATCCTTTAACAATCTTGCAGACTCAACAATCCCTGGTTTCCCATTAACAGTTTCCAACTTTCCCTTGGTGGCTGCAGAAATTTGATTGATGATCTCCAGGGGCGGTGAAATCGGTGATAGTGATGATTTCCCAAAGTTGATCATAAAACGGGGTTGGTTAAGTCTCTTCTTCTCCAGACCACTCGCCGGAGTAAAATTAAGCTTACAAAACGGCAATGCTACCTGGGAGGTTGTTGTTGGTAGGGTCAATTTTATAATCATGGTGATAATCAGAACAGTGGAATTTGAATTGCAGTGACGCCAAAATGTATGGATGCCACTCGTGGTGGGATTAGAATAAACCTCACTGTTCAAAGAGGAAGAGAAACAAATATTTAACTAAAAGTTATATTTGAAGAGAAACAAATATTTAACTAAAAGTTATATTTAATACTATTTCGAAGATACTTACAAAGAACAAAGTAATGCTCTATTTATAACCCTTCAAATGAAAAATTATAACCTATATCTCCGACGTGGGACCAAAACGAAATTCAACTAGCATATTTATTTTATTTATCTTTTCTTATTTGCTTCCACATCACGAAGGAGAAATTGTAAAAGACATGGAAACAATTAAAATGTTTAACTGCGTGCAATATGTGCATTATAAACAAGCCGCATGCTCTCTTGTAATTAACGTCCAATATCCCTCCTTTACAGGACAAGTTACCGAATCAAGTAATAAATTATGACAGATGATCCCGGTTAACTTCTATAGATCTTGTGGATGGGATAAATTTAATTGTACCACGTTAGGGCATCTCCAACCCACGCCAAAATGGTGCAAAAAACACCAAATTGGCGTGGGTTGGTACTCCAACCCACGCTAAATACTGTGCCATTTTGGCGCAGTGCTGCACCAAATTTGGTGCAGCACTGTAGCACTGCGTCAAAATGGCGTGGCACTGTAGCAAAAATAAAAAAATATATTTTTTTTTTAATTTTGGTTTTTTTGTTTTTTTTTTAATTTTGTTAAGTTAATTTGAGTATTAAATTTTACACCAAAAATCACACCAAATTTGAGTATTTGTATTTAATTTAATTTGATTATTATTTATAATAATGATATAGTTTAAAAAATGATGAAAAATTAAAAATAGAACTTTATTCAATGCAAATATTAAACTACAATAACTCAAAATAAAAATTAACACTAATTTAAAAACACTAANTAGTAAAATTATCAAATTACTTTTTTATCCTTTATCCTAACACCAAAAACTTAATAATAGGGCGAATTTTGTTGTTATATCGTACCTTTGAGAAAATTTTGTCATTAACTCTAATAATAACAACAAGAATAATTTTTAAGATGCATGAGTTATGCATGTTGTATATGTCATGTGTTATCCCATTAAATTAATATTTAATTAATTATTTTTCTTAGAGAAAAATAATACTTAATAGTAAAATATTGTTTGTGATTTACGAAGCAAAAGAATTCACTAGAATAATATTTACTCATGTTGCGTGGTGCAGGAGAGGAGGGAGAACAAATTGTACAATGAGAATTATGTGGAAATCAAGGCCTGTCCATGTTTTCAATGTTTAATTGTAATAAAAAGTGTGTTTGATGGTTGAGATTGTTGAAAGTTTTTTAAACATTAAAGTTATACGTATATTTATATGTTGTTAGGGCCAAAAAATGTCCTTGGCCCAAATAGGATAACACATCTGACAAAGAGCTAAGCCTAGGCCCAGTCCCGATGCGGCCCGAGCCAGAATTCCCTAGATGAGGCCCATTCGGTATGAAGTATAGCCAGTCCATACCATTTGGACCCAGACCTTCTGATCCCAACATACCATCTGGGCCTATGGCCCAATTCGAAGCCCACAGTCAACTACGGATCACACTCCTATTTGAACTCTGATAAGGTAGTCCACTACTACCCTAACTCCTCCAACATCCGTATCCGAATTATACTCGGACTTCCTTTCACGCCAGGATAAGGGGGCCAAAGGATACATCCCAGGGGGGAAACGATTACAATGAGAACTCCTTATTCTATCAGGATTGGGAAACCAGACAATCACTATTTAAACAGAGGCCAGCTCTCTCACAAGGGAGATTACATTACACCTTTAGACCCCAGAGTTCCCGCTTAAGAACTTCATATTACAATCGTAGTCACAGTCCCTGACTAGACTTTTGGTAACCTCTCTACTCCATAGCCCTCACAAAATTATCCTCTTTCAACCTTGCTGACTTAAGCGTCGGAGTGCCTATGGCAAACACCACCCTGGTGTTTTCCGTCGCTCCTTCTTTGTTTCTCTACGTGTGCAGGTACATCAGATCGCTAGTGGCCTTAACCCCACGGGATTAGTCCCTCTTTCCGTACAGGTAGATTTTTACTTCTACATATGTTTAATTAAAATAAAGTAAATTATTTTTAAAATAAAAGGACCTTTGAAAAACAAAACATTAAACATATTTTTTTATAAAATGCTTTTCTCAAATGTATTGTTTATATACAGTTTTGGATGTCATTTAACACATGGGTTAAATTCATTTTGTACACCACATTTCTCAATACAACTTATGGATGAAATTTTGTATCCAAATAATAGGCCTAGTTATTAAGGACTTTGGTGTATACATAACTCTCCCTTTTTTTTTTTTTTTGGTGATCGGGGGTGTCTGAGCCAGCTTGTGCACACCTCAACTAATCCCCCAAAACTCTTAAGTTGATAGCCAAGTAAATCTTCTCAGTGGTCATCCCTATTAACAACCCAACTAGATCGAACTCAAGACTTCTTGAGTAATACACCCAAACGTCTTAGTTGACTGCTAAGCCACCCAGTGGTGGTTATCCCTCCCATTGTTACTTAGATTTTAGCCTAACTTTCTATAGTACATTTTCATAAGTATCTAATCATTTGCTACTTGGAGAAATATTTACCAGGTTGGTTTTCCTAAAACCTTTTCAAATTGATAACACGTTTTGATTGATTTTATATAAAGTTATAAAAAAAACATCATGTTTATCATTTTAATAAAAATTGAAAACCAAATATATAATTTACATCTGTCTCATGCTCACCTATAAGCTTCATTGCTCAATTATCAATTGATGAGCACACAAAAAAAAAAAAAAAAAAAAAAAACATGAAAATTTCATGTGGTGATGTGTGAGCACAGCATCCCAAAGAGACATCAATTTTTCAAAAGAACTGACTTTATTAAACAAAATTAAATAGAAAAAAATTAAAAGTAAATTAAAAACAAATGAAATGCTTCACTTGAATTTTTGAAGGTCAAGACAAGTAATTTGTGCTAAACAACCTAAGAAATTAATTTTCAATCTTGAAAGGCACACAAACTCACAAGGAAGATGTCAACATAAAACAATCTAAACAAGACTTCCTTAATCACAAACAAGAGAGGTTAAGTCACAAGAGCTTATCTAAGTGTGTGATAGTGTCCTCAAGGGGGATTAAATGACACATTGGTTAATTAATATTTTGCAAGAGAAACTCCCCCATTCCTCACGCCCTACAACATTTTTCATTTTTCTTTTTCAACATAGAAGATAATGATTCAATGTTTTTCTTTTTAGTTTTGAAACAATGGGCAATTAACTCTCAAAACATAACCAAAATGTAGCTTTCACACTTACAAAAAGGTAGTCCTCTTAATGGTAGATTTTCCAAGACATAGGGGTTACTACAAATCAGAAAATTACTAAAAAATGATTGTCACACTTCAGGCAAGGTAGATCTTTCACAATAGTGACAAGAATGGACAAACAACTCAGGATGAGATAAAGTCATGCAATAGAGAGAGTCAACAGTGGACACAACAAACCAGAGTTAGCACACAAACAAGAGAAAAATTACTATCAATGTGGTAGCACAGATCAAAGGACTTGACAACCAAAAATAAAAGAAGCATATTCATGCTTTATTCAACATAATAATAAAAAAAAACCTACTCAAGTTGAAGTATTCCAATGGATTTCCTCAAGAAAACAAAAGTATCATAATCAAATGTTTTTGTAAAAAGATCAGCCAATTGGGATTTTGTGTTCACAAGAGCAAGTGCAATGATGTTCTCGTTAACTAACTCTCTAATGAAGTGATGTCTTATGTCAATGTGCTTAGTCTTAGAATGCTAGACAGGATTCTTACAGATGTTAATGGCATTCGTGTTATCACAAAATATAGTCACACAATCTTGGTCAATACCATAATCAAACAAAATTTGCTTTAACCATAAAATTTGAGTGTAATAACTCCTTACGACAATATACTCAGCCTCAGCAGTGGATAGGGAGATGGGATTTTGCTTCTTGCTGTACCATGTGACAAGATTGTTCCCAAGATAGAAACAACCACCCGAAGTTCTATTTCAATCATCCAAATTTCCTACTTAATCGGCATCACTATATCCAACCAAGCAACTGTTAGAATCAAATGAGTTCCAAAGACCAAAATCACATGTACCTGAAACATATTTCATAATTATTTTCACTGCATTCAGGTGCAACTCAGAAGGGTTAGCTTGAAACTTAGCACAAATGCCAACACTAGAACAAAGATTAGGTCAGCTAGCAATCAAGTAGAGAAGGCTTCTTATCATGCTTCGGTACATCTTAGTGTCTACCTTTTTACCATGTTCATCTTTGGATAGCTTAAGCATGCTTTGAACTCTCTAAACAAAACCTTTTTAACATGTTTCTAGCATACTTAGATTGGGAAACAAACATGCCATTTTCCAATTGTTTAATTTGAAGACCAAGAAACATATTTAACTCTCCTGCCATATTCATCTCAAACTCATTTTTCATTAAACTAATGAATTCAAGTGCATATGAGTGAGATGTAGAGCCAAACACAATATCATCAACGTAAATCTATGCACACAAGATTTCACCGTTAACACGCTTGATAAAAAGGGCTTTGTCAACATTTCCTCGTTCATAGCTATGCTCAAGGAGGAAAGTTGTCAGCACGATATCAAGTACATCACAAGGACAAAAATTAAAGGTGAGGCTTTGGCGAACTTCATTTCAGAATTCTTCTATTAGCCAGAAAGGGAAATAAGCCTGCAAGGGGCAAGCAACTTAGAAGAAAGTGAACAGCCTAAGTCAAAGTTTGACGAACTATGGAAGTGAACTCTTTATGTAGACGAGTCTTCAAATGAGAAGGGGGCAGGAGCTGAGCTCCTACTCGAAAGTCTAGAAGGGAACCCGATAAGGGCTGCAATCAAATTCGGGTTTGCCACCTCCAACAATGAGGCTGAGTATGAAGTATTACTCACAAGGATCCACCTCACCAAGGAGATGGGGGTAGAGTCCATCAAAATCTATAGTGACTCCTAGCTCGTAGTCCATCAGATTAGCGACGAATATCAAGTGAAGGAAGACAAAAT